ACGCATATGGAGACGCGGGCGATGCGGATTCCAGTTGAGCGCCCATTAGGATCTCACGCTCCATGTTCCTCCCACGGCGGTGGAGGCAGGCAAGAACGCGCCAAACGGGAAGCCGCACGAAGAAGTTGGGGGCCGCGCCATCGTCAACCCCGGCGGCAACCGCGCCGCAGGAGACAAAGTGCTGCTGGACGTCCTGCCGCCGCCCCCGTCGGCCGCCGCCGCGCTTTGCAATGTGCCCTGCCTGCGCGCTCTGCCGGCCGCGGCCGCGGCCGCCCCGCCCGCCCCCCTTGCGCGCGGTGGTGGGCGCGGTGTACTCGCCGGTGCCGTCGCTGCTGCCCGACTCGTCAGACTCGCTCTCGCTGCCGCTCTCGCCCCCAGAAGCGGGCGGGCGGTATCCTACGCGCGCGAGATACGGGCGAGATCTCGCCGAGATCGGGCGAGATGGCGCGCCCTCTGGCGGCGCGGCGTCCGACACGGGAGCCCCGAGCCTCGGCCGAGAGCACGCCTCAGTTCGGCGAATCTCGGCGAACCTCGGCGGATCTCGGCGGATCTCGGCGACTCTCACGTCGGGCTACGCGTTGCGAAGACGCCGCGTCCGCGGCTCTCGGCTCGCTCAATCTCGGCGCATCTCGGCGCATCTCGGCTCATCTCGCGCACCTGAGCCGGGAGGCCCGTGGCGGTAGGACGGCGGGTAGTGCCGCGCGTACGCATTCGGCGCGCCCCGCAAGGGCGGCAGCTCGGGCGGCGGCGGCGGCGGCGGCAAGTCCGGCCCGTCTGCGCCGAGCCTCAGGATCTCTTCGGACGGCTCGACCTGTCCGTCTGGCAGCATCACGCAGATCGGGCAGAGCCAGACGCCGCCCGGAGACGCGTGCAAGCCGACGCACTCAAGGTGGAACCACTCGGTGGTGCAGTTTGGGTTGTCGCAGCAGACCATCTCGGCGCAGCCCGGCGACGAGACGCGGCCGCAGAGGCAGTACGTGCGGTCGGCACGGAAGGAGCTACGGAAGAGGGTGCCGAGGTCTAGCCGAGGTCTAGCCGAGGTCTAGCCGAGGTCTGGCCGAGGTCTAGCCGAGGTCTGGCCGAGGTCTGGCCGAGGAGAGAGTCGCGCCTCCGCTTGTTGAGCTTGCCCGTGATCCCAAAGCCGGCGAGCTCGGGCGCGTCCCATGAGGAGAACTCGCGCCCGATCCCTCCGCTCGACACCTAGGTCAGGTCAGGTCAGGTCAGGTCAGGTCAGGTCCTCTTCTCCACACACACGAGGTGGTGGGGGCAAGGGCCAGGCTAGTCCCTCGCGCCTCCACGTCTGACGACAGGAGCCGCCACGGCATTCAAAGTGCAAGGCCCAGGGCGCGTGGGTGAGCGGTGTGTGTGTGTGTGTGTGTGTGTGTGTGTGTGTGTGTGTGTGTGTGTGTGTGTGTGTGTGTGTGTGTGCTCGACACCTATGTGGCGCGACGAGTGAACACCAGCTGAAGCATAGCACACACAGCGTCGAGTGTGTCGTGTCGTCACACGCCGGCCGACCATCGCCGGCATACAAGACGTGTGTCGTGTAGACTACAGGGTACTCAAACGTGGTACGAAGAGGCTGTTGCGTGGTGTGGTCATATGGCAGTCTCTGTACGTAGATGGTGGTGTGTGTCGTGTGTGTAGCAGTATATGGCCACCTGCCGCCCGACCATCACCGGTGCGCCAGCCACCCCCACCGTGTTAGCGTACGGAACCACGCCCGGCGCGCCGCCGCCGCCGCCGCCGCCGCCGCCGCCGCCGCCGAGTGGGGGAGCGCCGCCGGCGGTGCGGATCGCAGCCGCCGCGGCGGCGGCGGCGGCGGCGGCGGCGGTGGAGGAGGCGGCGGCGGTGGAGGAGGCGGCGGCGGAGGCGGAGGCGGAGGAGGAGGCGGAGGAGCCGAGCGACGCGTACGACGAGCTCGAGCCGACAGACTCCGAGCTCGCCGAGTTGCTCATGTGCTCCGAGCGGACGTATGGCGGGACCGGCACCGCACCGGGTGGCAATCGCCGCCCCGCCGCCGCCGCGGCCGCGGCGGCGGCCGCCGCGGCCGCCGCGTGGCCGGTGGTGGGGAGGGCGCCTGGTGGCTGGCTGTGGCCGTAGGCGGGCTGGTCGCCACGGGGAGACGCCATCGCCGCCTTGTGCGCCTACGCGTACCATACCTCCAGAGTGGTCGAATCCAGCGTGGGTTCAGTCCCGTGGGTGGTGAGGTAGCAGCCGTGAGCCTGCGTGCTGAACACACCGACTTGAGGGCGGGAAGGTGGTGTTGTGCAGAGCGGCGCGTGAGTACGAGGGGCTGCTGCGTGTCCTCTCGGGCGCGGGCTGGACGACAAGAACATGGGCTCCGCTTCTAGGCAAACGGGCCATCCCACCGACGGGAGAGGGGGGGAGAGACGGGGAGAGACGGGGAGAGATTCCGCTTCTAGGCTTGTGCGCCCACTGCCGCGCCTGGAGGGTGGCCACCTCGGCGCGCGAGAACTCTCGCTGCCCGTCCGGTGCGAGCGGCGGGTCTAGCAAGGTCACCAGTGGCACCGAGCGGGGCGGCCCGGGCGCAGGCGCGAGTTGCTGCGCCGTCGCTGAAGGCATCCTCGGCAGCGACGCGGCCAGCGATTGCGCCGCGCGCGCGTGTGCAGCAGCGTGCTGAGCGGCGGCGTGCTGCGCCGCGGCACGCGGCGAGCCCGCGCCGCTCGCCGCCGCCGACAGCAACCGGTGGTGCGCGCTCGCGGCGGCGGCGGCGGCGGCGGCGGCGTCGCGGCACCCGCATGCGGGCGGTGCGCCCATCGGTGTGCTGGACATTGGCGGGCCGTAGCGCGCGGCGTGCGCGGCGTGCGCGGCGGACGCCGCGTGCATGTGCGACGGGTGCAGGATGCCAGGCGGCGGCCCGCGAGGCGGTGCGTGGGCGGCGTACGAGGGCGGCGGCGGCTGCTGCGGCGGCTGCTGCGGCGGCTGCTGCGGCGGCTGCGACGCGCGTGGCGGCGGCGGGTGGTGCTGCGGGTGGTGCTGCTGCGGGTGGTGCTGCTGCGGGTGGTGCTGCGGGTGGTGCTGCTGCGGCGGCGGCGTGTTGAGCGCGTCGAGCTCGAGCTCCACTTTGTCCAAGTAGCGGTCCACCATGTCCCTCAAGTCGCTTACGACTGGAAGCTTCCGGGACGTCTCGCCCATGCCTCCGCCTCCGCCCATGCCTCCGCCTCCGCCCATGCCTCCGCCGCCGCCCATGCCGCCGGGCCCGAGACCGCCGCCGCCTGACCGGCCATGACCGAGGCTGCCGCCGCCGCCCGCCCCGCCACCAGCCATGCCGCCGCCAGGCATCGCACTCGCGCTCGCGCTGTGCGTGTACGCGACCTACAGGCCGCGAGTGTGAGGGCGGGGTGTGCGGACGGGCCTCGCGCCGCGTGTGCGCCGCACTGCGTGACCACGCGGCGCGACGCGTGGAGCAGTGGTACCACCCCACAGCGCTGGAGGTCGCGCCGAGGCACGTCTCGGTGGGAGTCTGCGGCAGTCATTGGCCAGGGCCGTGCCTCCACCTCTCTAACTGCCTCACTAGGCGCCTTGCGCTGCGAGCTAGTGTATATACATAGTGTGCGAGAGGGTGAGGTGTCCAGGCGCTGGTCAGGCTGCGCCTCCACCTCTAACTCACTACCTAACGGCACTGGCCCGGCCTGTGCCTCGCCCTCTCCAACTGCCTGACTAGCCCATGTCCCGAGTGCGATTCCCAGCGCACAGACAGACAGACAGACAGCCGCGGGTCGGCTCTCGAGCCCCTCGTGCGGAGCGTGTGTGTGCGCACGTGCGTGTGGGCCCCTCCTCCGTGCTACGAGGTGCCTCGGCACACTGACTCACAGTCTGACTACTGTCTCACCTGTCTCACCGACTGCCCCTCGTCATCCAATTAGTGACGCGCATGAATGGATTCGTGAGATTCCCACTGTCCCTCTCCACGGTCTAGCGAAGCCACAGCCAAGGGAACGGGCTTGGAAGAATCAGCGGGGACAGAAGACCCTGTTGAGCTTGACTCTAGTCTGTTCCTGTGGAACGACTTGTCGGTTTGAATCGTACAGCCTCTCTCCCGTGCAGCATCTAGAGCGCGCGACCGCAGCGGCGGCGGCGGTCGGTGCGGGGTGAGGTCCGGGCGGGAGGCCGGGCCGAGGCGCCGAGGAGCTGTCGCACCTGCCAAGTGAGGGGCAGGGGCTCTCACGCCCCTCCCGTCTTCGGCCTGCGTGCGCCGCTGGCTCTCGGTGCGGGGACGCGCGCGCCAAGCTGCGGGCGGCGCTTGCGAGCGGGCGAGGGGGGGGGGGGAGGGGAGAGGGGAGGAGGGGGAGGGCGACCACGTCTGTCCACGCGCTAGCGTGCCCGCGCCAGGCACACCGATCAGCGCGGCCTTCCCCCCCCCCTCCCTCCCCGTCCCCATGTCTTCTAAAGACAGGCAGAGGGCAGCCACGCTGCGCCTTGCCGAGGCGCCGCCTCGCAATCGGAACCCCGTGTCCCAGCCCCTCGGGCCCGCCGGGGCGCCCCTCGGAGGGACGCTGTGCCGGTGGGTGCGCGCGTGTGTGCCCCGGCACGTGCGGCGGTGTTGGCCGCTCCCCCGCGTGTGTGTGGCGCAGGGTGGCTTCTCGAGCGGCGGCATCTTGAGGCCGCGGCTCCAAGACACACTCTCTGAGCCACACCTGCCGATCGATCCGTCGGACGTCGCGCGCGCAGCGAGGTCGCGCTCGAGCGAGACTGGCGCCTGGCGCATCCGGAGCGTGGGCGAGCGATCGCGCGCGTGAGCGCAGGGTGGCCGGAGGACTGCGAGTGTGCTCTCTTTTGCGGGCGCCACGAGGCGGGTGCTCGGTGCTTGGGCACAAGTGGCGAGCGAGGAGCGGTCCCGAGGCGAGGGCGTGCGGCATTGCGCCAAGACACCGCGGGGCGGCCGCGAGGCTGGCGCCGCAAGACTGGGCCACGGCTGGCTGCCTTTGTGTGGGTGCAAGGTGCGGCCTGCCGGGCTGACGCAGGCGCCGCCGTACAGAGCTCGCTTGGCGAAATCAGCGCGGGTGGAGAGTGCGCGGAGGCAGCGCGCACCGTGGCGGCGCGTTCGCTCAGCATGCCGTCGCGGTTCGGCAGCGGCGGCGGCGACGGGCAAGCAGCGCCGCTTTCGGCTCGCCAAAACACACAGCCGAATCGAATTGATGATGGATTCGTCGAGCGAAGGAGGGCATCCAGAGAAGATCAGAGAGGGACACATTGTTGTGTCACTCACTCACACACACAGAGAGAGTTTGTTTGTTTTGTAGGATTGGTGTAACCCGAGCCTAAGGAGGGCATATCCAAAGCCTCCTAGGCCATCAGAGAAGATCAGTTTGGGACACATTGAGTGTGTCACTCACTCACACACACAGCGGTATTGCTAAAAATCTCTCTCACACAGCAACAACAAAAACAAAAAAATCACACGCAGAGAGACGTCTCTATGCGAGCGAGATGTCTGTGTGTTGTGGTGGGGAAAAGGGTCATGTGCGGAACGTGTCAGGCCGGCTTGCCTTTTGCTCTGTTTGTCGGTCGTCCGCTCAACCGTTACGCGTAGGAACTTCCTACTTACTTTTCCTCTTGCACGCCTTCTCTTTTTCTTTCATTTTTTCTCGACAGCACCTTCTTTCCCCTATTTCTCCGGGCGTCGGGAAAACCGTCCGCGTGGAAATCCTCGAGTGCCGAGTGGAAATCGTCAATTTTTTGGGCTATCTGTACTCTGAGCCGGGCGAAAAATAGAATACACGGGGAACGCGGGTCTACAACAAGAGACAGACTTGAGCAGCGCGTCCTGGGAGTGGCAAGGGAGCGCGCCCCAGCCCCGCGACAGAGGACAAACCCGACGCGAAAAGCATCCACGCCTCGCCTCGCCCAACCCTCTCATCGCAGCGGTCGCGTGTTAAAGTGCACCCACTCAGGCCCGCCGTCGAGGCTGTCTACCGTCCTGCGGCCAAAGGAGAGGGGCGATGGCGGCGGTGTCGGCGTCTGCGGCAGCGTCTGCGGCGGCGGCAGCGGCGGCGGCAGCGGCGGCGGCAGCGGCGGCGGCGGCAAGAAGTCCTCATACGCATTGGTTGGTGGGCGCGCGGGGCGGGGCAGGCGGAGGGTACGGGCGAGGGCAGCGGCGCGGGCGAGCAGACGGGGCGGGTGATGGGGCGGGTGATGGGGCGGCGGGTGGCGGGGCGGCGGGGCGGCGGGCGCTTTTGGGGGCAGGGGGGCTGCAGCGCACTGTTTCGCGAGGTGAGTCGTGGTGCGGATGGGCACAAAGTTGGCCTAAGGAGAGGGCAGAGGCGGAAGGAAGGGGGTGGGGACGGTTGTTGGCTGGGGAGGGCAGAGGCGGAGGTGGGGGTGGGGGAGTGGCGCGTGGGCGGCGGCCGGGGTGGGGGGGCGAGGGGAGTGGAGAAGAGGCAGAGGCGGAGACTTGACAAAGGGAGGACGCCTTCCGCAGAGGGTGTGCGCGGCGAAAGGTCTACTTTGAGCCGTGCGTCTGCGTTGCCGGACACTCTGCAACCACTCGCGGCCGCCTACCCTCGTTGCGCCCGGCCGACCGCTCCCAAAAAGCCACTGGAGCGGCGTGGGTGGCGATGCGCTGCACGTGCGTAGTGTGAGGCAGACGGCGCCTGCAAACCGAGCACGCCCCAGGCGCCAAGGACAAGGACAAGGGCGCACTGCAGCACGATCTCCACTGGCGGGTAGGTGAAGGGCTGCTGCATCGCCTTGAGGTACTCGCGGTGCTGAATGGCGCACACTGTCACATGCGCGAGCAGCAATACCGACGCGGCGACCGCCAACTTGTAAAACCGGCGACCGACTCCCATGTGCGACGGCAACAGCGTTGAGCCGGGGGTGGGCAGAGTTGGCTGCTCCTGACCGGGGTTGGCAAGAAACACAGCGAAATCACTCAGTCGGGCGACGCCCGGAAGGCGAGCAAGAGACCGAACGGAAACCCGGTACACGGAGCCCTCTCGGAGACCCGTCCTTACTTTACGGCCCTTTGCGGTGAGGCACGCCGAAGATGGCCAAGTGGGAGCGGTGCTGGCGTGGCTCGACGGCGGCGGGCGGTCGACGAGACGTTCGAGTACATCTTTTTGGACGGCCCTGCAAGCGGCATGACGCTGCTGATGGTCGCAATGACCAATGGCCACGCGGAGCTGGCCGAGGCGCTTCTGCGGCGCGGCGCGGATGTCTCATTGCAGGCCAGCAACGGTGGCACCGCGCTGAGCCTCGCCGCCACCAACGGCCGCGAGAAAATGGTCGAGCTGGCTTTGCGGCACGGCGCGGAGATCAATCAGAAGTACGGCGACGGCAGCACTGTGATGATGACCGCCGCCTACGATGGCCACGAGCGGATTGTCGACACGCTGATCCGGCACGGCGCAGAGATCAACCTGCAGGCCAACAACGGCGACACCGCGCTGATGTTCGCCGCTGCCAACGGCCATCCCGCCCGGGTGCGTCAGCTGCTGCGGGCGGGCGCTGACATGACGTTGCGCTCAAGCGGCGGCACAACGGCGCTGCAGTGGGCCAAGGAGAAGGGCCACACCGAGTGCTACGAGGCCTTCAGGACGTATCTCGGCGAGGTGACGGCAGCTCGGAGCAAGGCGCCGTCGGCCGAGGCGGGCGGCGAAGGGGCGGGCGGCGCACCCGCAGGCGAGGCGGAGGCGGGCGCCAGTGCCGCGGCCTCTGCCTCGAGCGGCGAGGGCGGTGCGGAGGCTGCGCCGGGCAGTGAGGCGGTGCCAAAGGAGGTCGTGCTAGCGGCTGAGCGAGGCGAAGAGGCGACGGTGCTGGCGTGGGCAGTGAGGCGGTGCCAAAGGAGGTCGTGCTAGCGGCTGAGCGAGGCGAAGAGGCGACGGTGCTGGCGTGGGCAGTGAGGCGGTGCCAAAGGAGGTCGTGCTAGCGGCTGAGCGAGGCGAAGAGGCGACGGTGCTGGCGTGGCTCGACGGTGGCGGGCGGGTCGACGAGACGTTCGAGTACGTCTTTGCGGACGGCCCTGTGAGCGGCTTGACGCTGCTGATGCTTGCGATGGTCTATGGCCACGCGGAGCTGGCTGAGGCGCTTCTGCGGCGCGGTGCAGATATATCGTTGCCGACCAGCAACGGCACCACCACGCTGAGCCTCGCCGCCTCGAACTGCCGCGAGAAGCTGGTCGAGCTGGCATTGCGGCACGGTGCGGAGGTCAATCAGCAAAACAAGCTTGGCATCACTGCGCTAATGGCCGCCGCCTACAAAGGCTACGAGCAAATTGTCGACACGCTGGTCCGGCACGGCGCAGAGATCGACATGCAGGACAACAACGGCGACACCGCTCTGATGCTCGCCGCTCACAACGGCCATCCCGCCGCCCTTCTCTGCCTGCTGCGGGCGGGCGCAGACATGACACTGCGCACTGCGTCGGGCAAGACCGCGCTGCACTGCGCCAAGGAGAAGGGCCACGCCGAGTGCGTGCGCGCCCTCGAGGAGCACGCGGTGGCCAAGGTGGCGGCCGAGAAGGCGGCGAAGGAGGCGGCGTGGGCTGCGGGGGCGGCGGAGAGGGCGGCGGCGAGGGCGGCGGAGGAGAAGGAGGCGGCGCGGCACGCCGACGAGCTACTGGCGGAGGTCGAGGCGGAGAAGCGCGCCAAGGGCAAGAAGGGCAAGAAGAAGAAGAAGGGCGGCGGGGCGGGCGGGGCTGGACCGTCGCAGGAGGCGGAGGAGGGTGCCGAGGCGCCGTCGGAGGCAGCTGAGGCTGCAAGGAAGGCCGAGGAGGAGAGAATGATGAGGCTTCTCGAGAAGTGTCATGAGGAGAGGATCCGGTTCGGCATCACGGCGGAGAGCCAGGCAGCGGCGTCGGCAGAGGTGGCCGAGGCTGTGCGCTTGGACGCGGAGGCGGACGAGGCGGAGGAGGAGGCAGAGGCGGACGAGGAGGCGGCGGCGGCGGCAGAGGCGGCTCGGGCGGCGGCGGCGCAGGCGCAGGCGGACGCCAGGGCAGCGCTGGAGAAGGCCAACGCGGCGCTCGCGGACGCGACGGCCGCTGCAGAGGCGAGCGCTGCTGTTGCGGCTGCTTCGAAGGCCAAGGCGACCGCTGCCAGGATGGCCGCGGATGCAGCCGAGCAGCAGCGCTCGTGACGTGAGAGCTGCTCGAGTGGCTCTCAGGATAGTATTCCGTCGAACACGATCTGTCCGCCGCGTGGCGAGACTGAGTGAGAGTTAAGGACAGACTGTCGCACGTGACTCGTGAGAGCTGCTCGTACAGCCACCACGACAGCCACCTTGGCAACTCCTTGTCGCATGTCGGGGAGCGCGCGCCACGCGCACGTCGCACGTGTTGGAAGCAGAGGGAGGAACAGGTGGACGAACATAAATAAATAAGTTCGGAGGCGTGCTCGCCCTTGCCGTACGACCTGGCGAGCGCCGCAGCGTAAATCGGCACGCCGAGGCCCATACTACTTCTCTGCCTACCCCATGGCCCCCCACCACAGGTGTCGACGTACTGGGCACCCGATGACCCCCACCCACCCTCTGCCCATAAGCGCGCCCACCCCATACCCCATCTCCCCATGGACCCCCCCATCATCATCTCCACGGCCCGACGCCCATCGCGGCCGTTCTATTCGTTCGTCATGTCGGCCCTCGTCGCGCAGGCCGGCTCTCTGGCATTGAATCTGGTGTCGGGCGTCGGCGTGGTGCTCGCGAATAAGCTCAGATGGCGGCGAGCGAACGTGCCCAGAAACGGTGCAAACGGTGCAAACGGAACAAACGGTAGAACAGATTTCATGTAGTTTGCTCGAGAAGAAAATTGAATGGCTCACCTCACATCACTTGATTTGCCAACAATATACCTAACCTCACATCACTGCGCAGCCTCTGCTCCCCTATCTAGAGAGCCTATCGAACGGGGTGGGTTAGGGTGGTTTAGCGCCCCCTAACCCAGGGCGGTTTAGCGCCGTTTAGCCTAGACGGTCACTAAACACGACTAAACGATCCTAAACCGCCTCGACAAATGGTCTGCTGGCCGGGGAGCTCCGTTTAGCACTAAACCGCCCTAAAACCGGCCAAACTCGCCACTGACTCACCGAGACGCGACCAGGGGTGGGTCGACGCCTGATGCTTGTGAGATGTCGCGAGTCTACGGTGCGAGGCCGCCTGTGACCTGGAGTTCGCGGATGCGGCAGTGGCGGAGGTTGCAGAGTCGATCGAAGACCGACTTGACCGTCCATGTTGCTGCGCCGAGGAGCGAGGTCCACGCGAGTCTCTTGCACAGCGATCATCAAGAGGCGTTCAGCAAACATCCGGCGCAGCCGCGGCTCGGTCGCCATGAATACCTCAATGTTACCATCGATGTACCCTCTTGCCCTTGTTGGTAAACACGACGCGCCCTCGCGTCCTTGCCTGCTGCGCCGCCTCGTGTGCAGCCTTTGCCACGACGAGGCGAACACGGACGAGCAGTGCTCAGCCCCTGCTACTCTGCGCGAAGCGGCACGCTGTCGAGATGGCGGACCCAGTACTTCTGGAAGTCATCGGGCAGCTCTAGCAAGGCCAGCATGCTGTGCAGACGGGGCCTGAGGCAGGCCACGCGCTCGCGCTAACCCGGTAAATTGCCGCCAAAACCGGAGATAAACCAGCCCGACAAACAAATGGTGGCCGCAGGCCGGATCAACTCCGTTTAGGCGCGTTTAGTGACCGTTCAGGCTAGACAACGCTAAACCGCCCTGGGTTAAGGGCCCCTAACCCGCGCTAAACGGTGTTAAACTGATACGTTCGATAGGCTCTCTGTCTGCGCTGCGGCCCGAGGGGGGGGACGACTGAAGCGATCGCGACCTGCAGCCGACGTTCTCGCCACACCTGCCCCAAAACCGCCGCCATTCGCTTCTCATGATCTGCATCCTCGCCGTCGTTGCCAACCCGCCGTCGTCAACCGCACGGCAGCCCGCATCGGTGCCTCTCTTCCTCCGGGCTCCTGCGTGCACGCCGGAATGGACGAGCGGTGGGCGGACGACGCTTTTCGAGTCCCAACCCGCGAATCTGTCGACCGAGCCGCCGGATGCGGCCATCCCTCGCGAGACCCTTGAGGCGGTCATCAAGGGCTCGGACTCGGTCAAGCACGACGCCCGCATCACATTCCGGCACTCGACAGAGGCGCTCTCCGCGCCGCCCGACTTGACGGTGAGTCGGGGCGGCTCGACCAGTCCGTGCGGCGCGCTCCCCTCCTCCCCTCCCTTTCCCCGCCTCGTGGTTGCCCTCGTGCTGGGGTGTCTCCTGGCGCTCCTCTGCTTCCAGCTTCGGTCGGGTGGCTCCTCGGCCGGCAAGGTCGGCCCAAACAAGGTTGAGGGGCAGAAGCGCTCGAAGAACGCGGAGAAGGACGAGGTCCTGACCCCGGCCGGCGGCAGCTCCGCCGGCGTTTGGCAAGCGCCCCTCATCTACCTCATCGCCGTGCTCGTCTTGTGCGGCGTGGCCTCCGAGGCCTCGATCATGAAGTACAATGCGACCAAGCCGGCCGCCGAGATCAATGTGCTGGGACGCGGCACCGTGCCGGCGACCCTGTCCGTGAACATGCCCGAGTCGTGGCCCGCAAGCGCTGCTGGGAAGGCCCGGAACACAGGAGGCCTCGTCGGCGCGGGAGCCTTGCTGCTGCTCGGGCGGGTCGCCTTGCCACCATCCGCCGCACAAGTCCGCTTGGCCGTCGCCGCGCTGCTCCTCGTCCTCCTCGCCATCGCTTGCGGCGCCCCCGGGCTGCTCGCGGCGAGCGGAAAGGGGGCTCGCGGCGCGGCCTCGTCCGCCACCGTCTGCCTCGCTGCCGCCACGGCGTGCCTCGCCGGCGCGGCGGCGGCGCCTGCTGGTTTTTTTGCGAGCGCCATCTCGTGGCTCGCGGCTCCGCAGGTCGCCGCCGCGGCCGCCGCCCTGGCTGTCATCGGCACGGTGATGTGGTGCCGCAACTCAAAGGCCCGCCGCCCCGGCTGGTCCAGCCTGCTCGGCATTCTTCTCTGCTTGGCCACCTTCTCTGGCGGGTTGGTCACCGTCGCTGGCGGCGCCGCGTTTGTCGCGTCCTCAACCGCGCTGCCAGACGTCACTGCGGTTCCGAGTGTGCGACTGAGGGATGGCCCTGCTCCGCAGCGACGTCTGGCATTTCCCGAGGTTGGCTCGGGCGAGCCTGGCTCGGGTGAGACTGGCTCGGGCGAGGTTGATTCATCGCCATCCGCTCCATCAATCGACTTCCAGGTCACTGTGGGTGGCGGCAGCTACCCGTCCGAGGTGTCGTGGGACCTGACCTGCACCGGCGCGTTGAGGGGCAGTGGAGGGGCCCCCTACTTTGGCACCCTGTCCGCGCCGCCCGGCGAGTGCACGCTCGACATGCACGACTCGTACGGCGACGGCTGGAACGGCGACTTGTGGAAGGGTGCGGGCTATACGTTCACGCTCGACTCCGGATCCTACGGCAGCGAGACGTTCATCCTCGCCCACCTCCCACCGCTCTCTCCACCGGCCTTGCCGCCGCCGCCGCCGCCGCCCCTGCTGCCATGCCCGCTCGGCGACGTCTGCGCCACCGGCCCGTGCTTGATCACCGACGGCGGCTCGTGCGCCACCTCGCCCAATTTCCCGAACAAGTACCCGAACTTCGAGGGCTGCACCATCTACAACTTGCCGCAGGCCGCGCTGGAGGTGATAGCCTTTGATGTGGAGGGAGGGGGGCGGGGACTGGGGGAGTGCCCCAACGACTACCTCGTCGTCAACGGCGTGAAGTACTGCGGCACCTCGCGCCCGGCCGGGGTCGTGCCGTCGGATGGGACCATGACGTGGGTCTCTGACGGGGAGGTCACCGAGTCAGGCTGGAAGGCGTGCGCTCTCCTCTCTGCGTCTCGGGTTCTCCACACACTGCCCTCTCCTCAGCTCTCGCGACCCCCCCCCCCCCTTCCGCAGGTATGCTGGGCTGCGCAGCCGCCGTCCATGCCGCCCCCCCCGCCGCCCGTTCCGCCGCTCGCTCCACCGTCGCCGCCCTCCTCGCCGCCCTCCCCGCCGCCCTCCCCGCTGCCTTCCCCGCCACCGCCCTCTCCGCCGCCGCCGCCTTCTCCGCCGCCCTCTCCGCCGTCGACGCCGCCGCTCCCACCCCTACCGCCGCTCGGGCCCAACGAAGCGTCCGCCGCGACAGAAAATGAACTCCGCAACTTGATTCGCAAGGCTGTGAGCGAGGGCCGGGAAGCATACGTGTTCGTCGCTCCTGGCGCCCACATTGTGCTAGGGTCCACGCCGTCGCCGCCGCCGCCGCCGCCGCCGCCGCCGGCGCCGCCGCCGCCGCCGCCGCCGTCGCCTCTTCTACCCGACATGGTGCAGCTGAGCTGCGATTTCGAGGTCGACACTTGCGTCTGGAACGACACCGCGCCGGACGGGTACTCTTGGACCCGCACGAACGGCAGCACGCCATCATTAAACACAGGCCCGAGCGGCAACCACTCCACTGGCTCGGGCTACTACATCTTCACCGAGGCTTCAGGTAGCCGCTCCAACAAGCTGCACCAGCTCAAGAGCCCGCTCTTCTCGCTCGAGCAAGACGCCACCCTCTCCTTCGCCTACCACATGTACGGCTCGAGCATGGGCACCCTCTCCTTCGAGGCCTACGACAACGAGACGGGCTGGTCGACGCTCTGGAGCAGGTCGGGCGACAAGGGCAACGACTGGCTCGACGCGGCAGTCGTCCTGCCCGCCTCGGCGACGCAAGTGCGCTTCAACGGCTGGACGGGGCCGAGCTGGAGCTCGGACATGGCGCTGGACGACTTCTCATTCTCGCAGTTTGCGCCGCCGCCGCCGCCGCCTTCGCATCCGCCGCCGGTGTGGTCCACTCCGTCGTGGTCGCCGTATTCGGTGGGGCTCTCCACTGCGTCTGTCTCATCCGGCTGCAGTGCCGTCATCACTCAGGCGAGCAATGGGTTCAGCTTTACACGCACATATCCAAACGGCTACTGCGACGACATGGCCGAACTCGAGCTGGGAGCATCCTTTCCAGCTGGGTACTACGAGCACGTCATGGAGTGGAGCGCATCGGGGGGTTCGTTGCAGGGGTGCTCAGCATTCGTTGTTCGAACGGCTGACACTTCCTGCAACGGTTGCAGCTGGGCCGGGACGAACACGGCGTTCGATATCGAAGGGAACAGCCAGTCGGAGACCGTGAGCTCATCGGGAGCTCTTGCGCTCGACGCGTTCGATCGCTTCTTTTTTGCGCACACCTGCTGGGGCTATGGCACCATCACTGTGCAATCTCTCACCATCACGGCGCTGCCCCCGCCGCCGCCGCCGCCCTCCTCCTCGCCCTCGCCGCCATCTCGGATGACCATGGACAGCTGCTCGACGTCTGGCACAGCGTCTGACACCGGTCTTTGCGATATTTACGACGTGATCACCGACACGGGCAACTACGGCGGCAGCCAGGGAGGGGCGATGTGCGTGGCCGAGACATTGGCTATCGCAGGCACTCGCTGCTGCGGTAGCGATGCGACCGCATCCGCAATCTGTGATTACAACTGTCAGGGCGTTACCTACGAGACCGCAGAGAGTCGCTGTGCTGCTGCGGGGCTTCGGCTCTGTGCTGTAGATGAGATTGACGACCGCCACTGCGGCACGGGCTGTAAATATGACCACATCTACGTCTGGACGAGCGCAACCTGCACAGAGCTCGCCCCGCCGCCGCCGCCGCCGACGCCCTCCGCGCCCAGCCCGCCGTCGCTGCCACCACTACCGCCGCCGCCACTGTTGCCGCCACTGTTGCCGCCGCCGCCGCCGCCACCGCTGTCGCCGCCCTCTCTGCCGGCCTCACCGCCGACTTCGCCGCCACCGTCGCCGCCTCCTCTACCGTCGCCGCCTCCTCCACCGCCGCCGCCACTGTCGCCGCCACCGTCGCCGCCCTCATCGCCAGAAGCCGGCCGCCGCGCCGCCGAGGTGCTCGACTCGTCGCTGGAATGCAGCGGCAACATCTCACTGGTTGTTCGCAGCGAAGGAGTCGGCGCGACTCTCGACGGTCAGGGTCGGTCGCGGCTCTTTTTCCTCTCTGGCGGCTGCAGCCTCACGCTCCAAGGACTGACGCTCGTCAACGGCTACTCCGAGGGAGACGGCGGCGCCATTCGAGGGTCGGGTGCGGGCTCCCTCAAGCTGGCCGACACGAGCATCAAGAATAGCGAGTCCGAAGGATTCGGCGGTGGCATCGCCATGGCCGATAGCGGAGATGTCGAGCTCCACAAGTCCACCACGTCGGGTTGCCGCGCGCGGGGCGACGGCGGCGGCATATCAATCCGGCAAGGCGGCGCGCTTACACTTACCGACAGCAATGTCACCCAATGCTCGGTGGGGGGGAGCGGTGGCGGCATCGCCCTGGCCGACAGCGGAGATCTGTCGTTGATTGACAGTGCCGTGAGCAGCAGCACGGCCGCGAAACGCGGCGGAGGAATCCAATTCGAGAGCAGCTGGAGCATCGCAACTTTCCTGCGGTCTACGCTGAGCGACAATCAGGCGGAGTCGGCCTCAGCCCTCTACTACAGCGGCTCCACGTCCACGCAGGGCTCGGTGGACGACTCGCGCTTCGTGGGCAACATCGCCCATAATAACGACGTCACAGTCACTATCACCGCGGCCTCTGAGATACGCTGGCACCCATGCGCGTTGGGCGAGTTCATGCCCATTCGTGGCGAGTTCAATGGTGACGTGCGCGGCTGCAACGTCTGTCCTGAGCGATACTTTGGAAACGCCACCGATCTTGAAACCGCTGCGTGCAGCGGCATTTGTCCGCTCGGCTATTTCTGCGAGGAGGGGAGCGCGCTTCCGGCGCCATGCCCCGCCGGAACCAGTATGCCTCTGCTGGGAGCGTCCAGGCGCGAGGACTGCCTCACGTGCCCGCGAGGGCAGCACCAGCCGGATGGCGGGCAGCTGAGCTGCACCCCCTGCCCTGAAGGGACCTACTCGGCAGACACCGGGCAGAGATACTGTGAGGAATGCAAGCCGGGCGGCTACTGCGAGGTGGAGGATGGGTTCATGGTCCGGCTAGCGTGCCCCGCCGGCAGCTACAACCCGGAAACCCGCTCCACCTCAATCGAATCGTGCCTTCTGTGCCCTAACGGCACCTCGAGCTCTGACACGGGAGCGACAACGAACTCTACCTGTGTGCCTTGCCGCGCCGGCAGCTTCGCATCTGGGGAGGGCAACGAGGCCTGCAAGCGGTGCCCGCAGGGCTTCTACCAGAGCGCGACAGGAGCGACGAGCTGCATACGCTGCGCGGCTGGCAAGTTTTGCCCCGCGGGTGCGTCGCTCGAGCTGCCCGCGACGTGCGACCCGGGGACGTACGCCAACATGACGGACGACGACGGCATCCCCGACTGCTTTGACTGCCCTGTGGGCTCGTCGTGCGGCGGCGGCGGAGCTCCGCCGGTCGCATGCTCTCCGGGCACGATCGCGCCAGCCGGGCGGATGGAGGCGTGCGAAAGCTGCGCCGGCGGGTCTTACCAGCACGACAAGGGTGCGACGGGCTGCCTCGCGTGCGAGGCGGGGAGTTACTGCGCCAAGGGCGCGGCGGCGCCGCTGCCGTGCGACGCTGGCAGCTACTCGAGTGCAACCAACCTCACCGCCGCGGGCGAGTGCACGGCCTGCCCCGCCGGCAGCGCCTGCTCCACGGGCAGCATCGATCCGACGCCGTGCTCGCCTGGCACTTTCGCCGCGAAAGAGGGGCGGTCCAAGTGCGAGTCTTGCCCTCCCGGTACCTCGTCGGATCAAGCCAGCAACGCGTGCGACGAGTGCGAGGCTGGCTTTTACGCTGCCTTCGCTGGCCAGGGCTTTTGCATCCCATGTCCTAATCCTCTCTCCAGCGTCGACGGCAGCACCACCTGCTCGTTTTGCATGGACGGCTACTACTTGCAAGACTCGACCGCCGACCCAGATGACATCTTTGTATCCCCGACCGAGCACTGCAAGGCGTGCCCACCCAACGCCAACTGCAGCGCCGGCACCACTCGCGAGGCCATCATCGTCCTGCCCGGCTACTGGCGCGCTAGCTCCTCCAGCTCCATGCTGACAAAGTGCCGTGCCTTCGGGGGCGATGACGATGCCGGATCGAAGCGGTGTGTTGGCGGCAGTTCGTCTGGAACGAACGGCGATGGGTACTGCAACTCGCTATTCAAAGGTCCCGAGTGCCAGCTGTGCGCGGATGAAAACCAGTACCTCGTCGACGGCGAGGAATGTGTCGATTGCCCTGCGCAGGGGCGCAAATTCCTGGGCCCCCTTCTCCTTGGGCTCGGCTTTTGCATCGCAGTCGGCGTTGCGGCCTACCTCTACAAGAAGCGGAGCTGGCGCGAGCGGCGCTATATTGGACCGCCGCTTCGCCTCGCCGACCGCCTGGTGGCCTTGCACTCGCTGCTCGGCATGCAAGCAAAGTTCAAGCTTCTTCTCAGCTTTTACCAGGTCGTCGTTGTCATACCGACCATCTACGGGGTGACGCTCCCCCAGAGATACACAAACTGGCTCGACGGGATCACTGAGGTGATTTCTCCGTCCAACTGGATGCCCATACCCTGCGTGACCTACGTGCAACTGCTTCTACCTTACGTCTTCACGCCACTTGGGCTGGCCCTTTCCCTCTTGCTCGTGGGTGTTGGGATGGGCTTCTCGCAGTGGAGCGCTATCCCAGCGCCGCGTCCGCCACCTCACCGGGCTGTTGCCGCGGGTCTGCTCGAAATCTTGCCAGCTACGCTGATCCTCATCTACTGCTCTGTCCCGCCCATCAACGCGTATATCTTCCGCTTCTGGCGGTGCAAGCTCTACACCACCTCGGAGCCTGGCGAACCTCTCGAGCAATACGAGGTGATGGTGGAGCAACCTGGAATCCTGTGTGCCAGCGAAGAACACGAATCGATCTTTCGCCGTTACATCATCGGGTCCATCGTCATCTGGCCAGTCGGCTCCATGGTGCTCTACTCGTCGCTGCTCGTCGCGTGCTACAAACCGCTGCACGCGAAGCTTCACACGGCGCTGACGCGGGCCAGCGCCTTCTTGCATCAAGATTATGAGACGCAGTGGTGCTGGTGGGAGGCTCTGGAGCTCGCACGCAGGCTGGTGCTGACGGGCGCGGTGACGGCGATGATCTCAGAAGAGCGCGCTTTCTTGCGCCTCGTGTTGGCGACGCTGGTTTCCACCCTGCACACCTGCGGAATCGCCGTCGCACGCCCCTTCAAGAGGGTCGAGGACGATGTGCTTGCGGTGGTGCGCCAGCCACGCACCAGTGTCGACACGAGGACCTGCCCCTCCCCCGTCTCTGCACGAGCTTCCCCCTCCCCTCTCCCCCGTCTCTGTCACCCTCTCCTTGTGCCTTTCTTCTGCAGGCGACGAGCCTGACGACGCTTCTCATATTTCTCACCGCAAACTGGATCTTCATCTTCGAGGGCATTGACGAGCACTATTATGATGTTAGCCGTGAGAGAGCAGATCCGCTCGACGTGTTGGGCTTTGGCAAGCTGGACGGCATCGTCGCGGTCATGATATCGCTCGTTTTTAGCGTCCTTTTCCTCTTCATGATCGGAGCCGTCATCGCCGCCCGCCGTGTCGCCAAGATCCCCAAGATCCGCCTCGTCTCGACCAAGCAGCCCCCCGAGCTGAGCATCGTGCTCGGCCTCACGTGGCACCTCTTCAACAGCCACATCTGGTGACATGGCTTATAGGGAGAAGAGGACCAGGACCCCGCTAGAGAGTCACCACCACCTCCGAATAGGTCGACCGGTCAAGACGCCGTAAAGGTCATCAAGGGTGAGCTCCAGCAGCTGCTGCCGGGCATCAAGATCTTTCTCGACGCACACAGATGCTCAGCACCGCTTCGAAGCTACACACCGCCCCTCTGACGCATCGCGGTGTGCGCACAGGTAGATGACCTCAAGGATATCGGGGCGCTCGAGGAGTACATCCGCCGCTCGCAAGTCATCCTCTTCTTCCTCTCGAGGGGCTACTTCCGCTCCAAGGCGCGCTTCCCCCTCCCCCCCCGCCCCTACCGAACTCTGGCCCTACCTCCCGCCTCTCCGGCCACAGAACTGCCTCCGAGAGGTCCGCTCGTCGCTCGAGATGGACAAGCCGCTCGTCCTCGTCCAAGAAGCGGACCCTGACAAGGGCGGCGGGACGATCCAGGCGCTGCGTGCCGAGTGCCCCGAGGACCTGCAGCCGGACATCTTTGACAAGGACTGGCCGCTCACGATTTGGTATCGCATCGATGAGTTTCAGCTCATCTCGCTCAAGATCATCGCCGAGGCGCCGCGCGGGCCACGGCCAGCCGCTCCACAGTCCTCTCTATCTCCCGACCGACCCCACTTGAATCACAGGCGCTGCTCCTCTGCTCGCCCAACTA